TATATATTTAGATTCATATGGCTCAGTAGGAAGACACTGAGTACTGGAAAAAAAAAAAAAAGAATGGTTAGAATACGATGTTGATGTTGAAACGCAAACCAGGACCTGCCATCTGGTTCTGGGCACTGCTGTATCCAAAGTAAACAGAAGCTGCTCCAGAAATGTTAGCTCAAAGGAAAAGCACATTTCTACCATTTCTGCATAGAAGGAGAGGCCACCAAATATGTAACTTTGCGCATTTATTTACAAAGAGGTTAGAGAAACACACAGAATCTGGCTCCCCTGTGCACCGGGGAGTCACCATCGTCATAATAAATACAGTAATTCTTAAAAAGAAAAAAAAAACTGGATTGGAACAGCTGAGGGTCACCTGCATTCCCCACTCTCTCACAAGAGTGGGGCACGAGATGGAAACCATCTTCCTTCCCCTCTTTTACCTCCCAATCCTCCCTCTGTCCAGGGATAGAGGTGAAAGTCCTTTCCAGCTGTTGCCAACTCCTACTTGACCCTCAAAACCCCCAAGTCCGTGCTCCTTCCCTTCCTAGGGCACTCTGCAGGCACCGTGTGAGTCAGACGCAGAGTCTCTTACCGGGGTGCCAAGGGGGGATAGCCTAGGGGTCCAGGGACATGGAGAGGGGGCACTTTGTGAATGACAGGGAGCCATATCTGGGCAGGGACAGGAGTGATGAGAGGACTCGGCGACAAAGTGAAGGGCAACAGACTAAGCTTCTACACTAAAACGGGGAAATTAAAAACGAATCACCCCTTTGCATACATGGACACCCATGGTACAGATGAGGAAAGTGAGACCCACACAAGGGGAACTTCCTTGCTTGAGAGCTGGGAAGCCAGGGTTTCTCCCCTATTGTACCCTGGGGTGGAGCAGAGCCCTTCCAGGGAGCGAGGAGAGTCTTTGGAAGCAGAGAACGCGGTGGTCTTTGGAAGGTGGGTGTGGAAGGGTCAGCGATCAGGAGTGTGGAGGTGCAGAGGCCATGAAGGGGGAGCCCACGCAAAGCCCCAGACTCACACTGTAGTCATGACCTTTAGAGAACCAGAACGGAAACGCAAGATCTTCTTCTTCAGCGCATGGGAAGCCTTGATCTTCACGAAGACTTTGGCGGGGCCCGCGGGGGCCCCTCCGCCCGCACCGCCCCCAGGCCCT